CCCTGCTATACACATTTTATACATAACGTTTAACGATACGTATCCAAATTGTTGGACAATACACCAAACAACAACAAATAATAAAATTTTGTGCTATTAAAGATTTAGTAATTTGATAATGTAATAACAATAACTATTAAGAGAATTATTGAAACATCATTTAACGGCGAGTTAATATACAAAATAATATTATTACACGTTAATAATATACATATGTATAGTATGCTATTCAATTTGTCATGAATACATTTTAAATTATATGTATAACTTGTAAATTATGCGAAATTATTATAATTTATAGTGTATAATTTGTCTATTCAATTTCTCATTATTTATGATTTCTATTTAATAATATCAGATGGAAGGAACAAACATTAAGGAAGGTCAAATCCATACAGAAATAAGTAAAATGTTTGATGAGAGTCCTTTTATGGGCATGGTACACAAAATTGCACGTAAATGCATGAAAGAAGGTAATTTACCTTATTGTATCATAATTATCACAAATAGATATCTATATATATATTGTAACTATGCTAGATTTGGAATAATTTGCTATTAAAACACATCAAAATACAATTATATATATATAGCTATAGAAGATATGGTTATATATTCCAATATTATTGTATTATACATTTTTTATTTTTAACTATATGTATAGCGAGAAGCATTACGGAAGAATGTGAGAAAGGTTTCTCTCTGTACGCATGCATCTCAAGAATGGTACATAAAATGCAAAAACACGAAGAACATGAAGGAAGAGAAGAAACAGAAGAAAATGCAGAATCAGGACAGGCTGAATAAATAGATACACAGAAATGAATTTAAAAATAAAATATTATTTGGATGGTTGCTAAAACGTTTATAAGACACAGTATACAATAATTTACGTTACATGAAAATATATATGTACTTTTTGTGTTTCTATTTTTTAAATTAGTGAACGTATTACAAATATCAAACTGTATTTTGATTTATTACAAACATTTCTAAATAAATAATTCAAAAACATTTATAAAAGATTTTATACTTCTTATTATAATATAATATATAATATTCAAATATAAACAAATATTTACACAACAAAGAGTAAAAAACAAATTTTTAGAAAAATACATTGTACATTTATAATATATTTTTATTATTAATAGTGTAATTGCTACACTTATTATATATGTAATTTTACATACTTTTTTACATTGAAGCTAGCTCTAACAGTAATCTTCAAAATTTAATAATAATTTTATTTTATCATTACTTTGTCATTTAATTTGATCAGTAATTTTATTTTTTTATACAATATTTACCAATCTCTTGCATATAGAAAGATTATATTTCAACGTCATCATTATGGCAACTTATCTGTATACAGTAATGTTACGTAATTAATATTTACACATCTGTAATCTTGTTTATTTAACCTATGCTTTTTACATTTTGGAGTATATATACAAAATTGAGAGTATATATACGCAGCTGTAGATATTTTGAATGTAATTGCACTCTTACAGCAGTAGAGATATAATCTACACAAAATGAAAGGTCTCGTACTTTGCGTCTGTGTTTTAATAATTGCTGTAAGTACTCTCTCAATAAACTATTTAATTGATTTTAATAAATAATGAAAAATTATTGAAAATAATACATATTAAAATTAGAAATAAAAAATACACATTAAATAAAGTAAATAAGATAAAGATTTGTTACACGTTTCAGTCATCAGCGGAATTAAAACAGCCCAAAAATGTAACAGAAATTCTTGAGGCTTCTCTGGAAACTTGCGCGACTGAACTTACTGTAGATAAGAGTAAGTTATAACATAAATTAATATAATTCGAAATAAGTTATAATAATAATTATGAACATTGTTACCTAATTATACTATACATATATGTTTGCATAATTATACACATTGTTTTTCTATACTGTTATTCATTTTTGTGATAAGCTTTAAATTTGTTTACTTAATTTTTTAGCATCTTTTCTTTAAAAATTTTAATAATCTATTTTAACTGACAGTTTTGCAAATACGCATACTACTTTTCTTGTATTTATTGATTTTAATTCCTAGGGGATCTGTATAGAGAGGAAGACATAATGAATAATTTACATACACAACCTGGAAATGAAGAAAGAACAAGAAAAAATGGTTGTTTTCTGGCGTGTCTCTTGAAAAAACAGAATTTAGTAAGTGTCCTATAAACATTTTATATAATAATAAAATTTTAAGCTACTAAGTTGTAATAACTTTAAGTTACTAAGATTTAATAATTTCATAATGCAATAACTATTAACACAATTAATGAAATATTATACAGGGTGACTTATTTTAACTTTTGGATTAAAGTATCTCGATGTTATGGGGTATTAAAAAAAATGTTTTAAATGAAAATTGTTTGGTTCGAATTACATAAAATGGTGACAATGCTTTAACCTTAATATAGTCGGTTGTATGTCACATGACAATCATACTCAATTCCTTACATGGAATCCCCTATTTGTCATTTTAAATCTTATCAAGATATCGAAATATTTTGATCCGAAAATAAAACTGGGACACCCTGTATATGTTTAACGGCAAATTAATATAAAATATTTATTACATGTTATTAATAAAAATATATTATGCTATTCAATTTTTTATAAATACATTTTAAATTATATAACCCCTAAATACTTTGTATTTTACAATTTCTCGTTAATTAATTTCTCTTTAATAATATTAGATGGAAGGAACAGACATTAAAGAATCTGAAGTCGAAGAAAAAATAACTGAACTGTTTGAGGATAATCCTTTCCAAACTTTAGCACAAACAATTACACGTAAATGCTTAAAACAAGGTAATCCTATTATATTTTAATTATTACAAATATATCAAAACTGTACTATAATTAATAAGACATTACATATATTTTTTTTATGTGCATTAGTTTTGGAATTATACGTTTGCTATTAAAATTCAATAGCCATAGAAAGAATGGTTACATATTCCAATATTATTTAATTACACTTTTTGAATTTTTATCTATATAGCGAGAAGCGATGCGGAAGAATGTGAGAAAGGTTTTACTCTATTCGCATGTGCCGCAAGAATATTACATAGCGTGCAGCACCATGCAGAACATACAAGAGAAGAAACAGAAGCAGAAATAGAAACAGAACAGCCTTTATAAGTATATACAAATAAATTCAAAAATTGAATATTATTTGTATATAGAAACATTTTGAAAAACAATTTAAGGGAATACAAACTGTAACAAAGATTATTATTCCAACTGTACCGTAACAAGGACATTAGTTACACGTGCCGTTTTATTATTAGAAAAACAATTTATATTTTATATCCGTAATTGGAAGGAAAATTGTATTTTTATCAAACATAATGCATCGAAGATACCTTGTTACTAGAACGTAAATAATTCTATTGTATACTATAAAATTTTATAATGTAACTCCCCTTTCTTTGTAATATTGATGTACATACATATTGCAAAATCAATTATATACAGAAAATAAAGCAAATGATAAGAAAACAATATATTGTCAAAGGGATTACAATTGGCGGATATTATCTATATTATATCTATATTATATCTATATTATATATATAATATAATAAGAAATATAATAAATTTATATTTCAGTATTTTACTTTTTATTCTATTGTCGTAAGTCAGTTTCATGATAAGAACATACATACTCTAGGTAGACAGCTGCGGGATGCGAAACGAAGAAGATTGGTTTTTGGTTCGTGTCGCTACGTCAATTTTTCGCCGAGTTATAGCGTTTTAAAAATCGGGCGCGCGCGCACCATTCATGAAGGAAGACCGCGCGAGTTTTACGCAAGTAGTACGCGAGCGTACTACGTCCCCAAAAAACTGGGATAAAAACATACGAGGCACATGTGTTCAGTAGTAAACACCGCCGCGCCAGACACCGCACGAGACGCCGCGTATACGCGCCGTCTGCTGCTTCTGAATGAGGATTAAGATCGCGAGTCGATATAATCGTTAATAACTTCGCACAGAAAAATCGTAGCAAGATGATCCTGGTCTCATTCGAAAGCTAAGATTTCAGCGCTTCTAACGAGATAAGAATGGCTCGCCTCGGCTTATTAGTTTATGAGACATCATTGATTATTTCAGAAAATAATATTGATTTTGTTCCGAGATCGAGATCACGAGTCAATATAATTGTCAAAATCTTCGCACAGAAAAATCGTAGCAAGATGATCCTGGTCTCATTCGAAAGCTAAGATTTCAGCGCTTCTAACGAGATAAGAATGGTTCGCCTCGGCTTATTAGTTTATGAGACATCATTGATTATTTAAAAAAATAATATTGATTTTCTTCCGAGATCGGTATGAATCTCTCTCGCGTCGTGCTTTGAAATTTTCGTCGCTTATTAAAATTAATCAATTGCGAAAATTGTTGGAATTTCGGACGTCGATTGTAAGAAATGACAGCGCCGCGAACACCGGTTGAAAACAGTCTATTGTGTCGAATCATTCGGCGCATATCAGTCGAGCGGGGCGGATGTTTCGCGTGTCTTCGCGTCGCTCCTCGTAATGCGATTATTTCTTACAAGAGAGTTATTAAAATTTATCAATCGCATTTAATTAATTGTCGTGATCTGTAATCTTATTGCTCATTTCTGCGGTAATTTGTCGAGAAAAATATCACGCGTAGTTCGAAGTAGAAGTGCCATAAGGAAATTACATATATATATAAATTATTAGTTAGGTTCGATATATTCACGGGCGCTAATACTTTTTTAACGATCGAACTCGGATGAATCTCTCTCACGTCGTGCATTGAATAGCACACCTACTTTACGTTCACTCAATATTTATTTTCCTAAATATACACATATGTAATTACACGGTTTTTTATCGATAATCCCCTCCTCGGGTACTACCTTGTCGTGGTGGAGGGGCTTAAGTACCCTGAAGAGTTACTCTCTAAAAATCAATCAGTGGATTATCACTGAATCAATGAATATTCACTGTTTTCAGTGATAATCCATCGATTGACTTTTAGAGAGTACATAAGCTCTAAAGACGGGACAACCAAAGGTACCCATTGCACTATTTGGGCTCGATTTTTCAGTTTCTAATAAACTGTTGACCATAGTTTAATCGATTCTCTGTCTCTTCTTAGATAATAATATAGAAAAGCATAGAGTCGAGGAACTTCCACATTAACAGTTAACATGAAAATGATAAACCATCAGGCCCAACACTCTCTGAAAGTTAATCGGTTGATTATTACTGAAAATAACGAATCGATTCACTGTTTTCAGTGATAATCCACCGATTGACTTTTAGAGAGCACATTTATTAATTGATTCTGTTCATTTCAGCACGAACTTTCAAGGACTGACGAATAATTCGCTATTATTTCGCCAGTTTAAACGAATCGCAATCGCGCGCGGCGATTCGTCGTGTCGCGTCGCGTTCGGGAGTGCCGTTTGTGTAATTGGACTAAAGACTTTCAAAGTGTAAAATTGGTCCAAGTTCTAGTTTTGAGAAATGCGTAGCCAATCAACTTGCAGCTTTTGTGGAACAGCTATATTGATTGGCTACATATTTCGCGGAATTAGAACTTGGACCACGTACTAGCATCATGGACACAGGCCTTAATTCGCCTGAATAGATACAGAGTTTCTAAATTTCTAAACAGTTGCTATTCTTTTCATCGGTGCTGTCGATACGTTATTGGCCGAATGAGATGTATTTACAGAATGGTTACGGTAGAAGAAAAATACGCGTTATACATACATATATAAATATCCATTGTTATATTTGGCGTAATTTGTTGATGATATCATTACTTTTGTAGAGAAGATAGTTTTGTAGAGAAGATTTTTGTAGAGACAATATTTTTGGAAAGATATTTTTATAAAAATATTTTTGTAAAGAAGATACTTTTGCAGGAAAGATATTTTTGTAAAGAAGATACTTTTGCAGGAAAGATATTTTTGTAGAGAAGATACTTTTGCAGAAGAGATAGAGTAACATTGGAGCTTATACTTGGTGCATTTCTTACCTTTTTTTTAAAAAGGTAAGTTTTTTGGGTGATATCACACCTTTTGTAGTGTTAAATACTATAAATAAACTCTAGACACTATGCCCGTTAACTGGTAACTCGCTAGTTATTATTACGAGAGAGAACCACAAAAGCACCGATGTCCGTTTTGTATGATATTAACCTTGTGTCGTTAACCACGATGTTAGACTTCTATACGAGTCCTTAGTCCGAGAAATAGTGTAGCCAATCAAGCAAATATATTAAACGAAAAATCTGAGGGCCCGTCAAATCGCGTACTCGCGTACTCGCGTAAACTACACCCGTCGGTCTTGCGCGCTAAGTCGGTAACGTCGGTAACGTCAGTCACGTCAGCCGCGCTTGCGAGCGCCACGTGCGGCAGAAATATGAAATGGAATTTTGGTGGTTGACGACGACGACCACGTTTCTTAATTCTTGACGCGAAATTCACAACCGCGGACTTTGCATTGCAATATCTCCACTCATGGGGCACGTAGGAGAAAAGTAAAAACACTTTTATTATGCAAATCGTACCTAAGCTATCGATTAAGCGCAGTCTCAAGTTCGTCGGATCAGCCGTTGTTGAGATCCGAAATTCTGAAGGCCCGTCAACTCGCGCACTCGCGTAAACTACACGGTCGGTGTCGCGCGCGTGGTTTAGCTTGTCACTTTAAAACTTTTCGCTTATACTTGGCGCGAGACACTACCGTGTCTCGTGATATTGAAAGAATAATTGTAAAGTAATCAAAATATGAACCTTGGAATATGTTCTAATAAGATATCAACGTACTTATACATCTGAAGACACACATATTGTCACAACATATGTATGAGGGGAAATTACATACATAAGTCACACCTTAGTAACTTCTATTAGCATCAGAAGAGTTTGTATTAGTGAGTTATCATTATCTTTTGCTTACTTCATATTTATATGATCTATGACCTTACAGTTCTAATCTATGCATTTTATAAATTAAAGTAGTATATATGATGCTGCGTTAGGCTTTAGTGCGTCCTTGTACAAGTACGTTTACAGACAGTAGAATAATTTATTAACAAGATGAAGAGATTCATATTCTATATTTGCACTTTTGTGCTCATTGTGAGTATCTTTTTTGTTGTCATAAAAATTAAATATTAATAAAAGACATAGATATTTTTACATATGTAACACGAAAGATTTTTTACATATGTAATAAGTAATAATTAAATCGTAGAAAATTTGTAACAATTTGCTTCTGTTTTTCTCTCCCATATTTCTGATGTTTCTGTATTTTATGTACACTTCTTGCGACGCACGTCTACAGAGAGAAACACATTCTTGCGTAATACTTCTTGCTGTATGAATAAAAATAAATTATGAATGTTATCGTTATTGTACGTATATGATATATGTATAATTGATGAGCAATTTATGTTTGTAATATGTATGAAAAAGAAACTTAATTAACTCAATGAATGATAAAATAACGAACAAGTAATGTATTTTAGTCTTTCGCGGTTGGCTCGAAGTTTGGATCCCGCCATAAACATTACAATACTTGCTTAACTGAAAATGATGTTTCTGACGGTAAGTCCATATGTATATGTATGTATAATGCTAATTTTTACTCGGTTTGTATTTCTTCCTAACTACATTAACGTTCTATAGAAAGTTATTTAATATTTAATTTTTAGTTAGTTATTTGTTAATAAAAGTTTATTATACAATCATTTCCATATAAAAAAACTTTTACTGAAGACTACTTAACATAAAAATTAAATAAACTTTTATATTGCATTTAATCTTAATTTATATCAATATTTGCAACTATTTTTACTATTTTAAAAACTATTAGAATTTAAAAACTATACTAATTGTATTAAATCTCAAAACTAATTATCTCTAAATTAATTAAAATTAATTAAGAAAAATATAGATATAAAAGAAAATATATATAATAATAATTCGGATATTTTAAAGACGTATGATTTATTCTAAATATATCCAAAAATTGTTGTAAAACTTGATTTTATACAATTTTTTCGTATATAAGCGACAATAAATGAAATTCTTGTAAAAATTTACATAAATATAATATTCATATTTTTAAATTTTTTTTTTAGACGACATGCTAACAGCACAAGATATAATAGAAGATAAATACAAACAATCCGAACATCAAGAGAAATTAAAAAAAAACGGTTGCATCTACCAATGTATGCTACAGAAAGTGGGGTGGGTTAGTGACACTTTTTTATCTTCATACGCCGATATCCAAGTTACGAACTGATAAAATAGTAGAACAATATTGAAGACTTAAAATTTAATTTTTCTTATATTTCCCAATTAAGGTCATTTGGTCATAGAATTGGTATTTCAATTAATTATTAGTTTTATTGACAAATTAATGTTTTTTTAAATATTATTACATTAAACAGAAAATAACAATAATCTAAAAAATTAAACATAATTTCTTAATTTAAAAAATAATCCAATGTTATTAATATTTTACATGTTTTTCTTGTAAATGTCAGATGGAAGGATCGGAATATGTCGTAGAGAAAATGCATAGTGAGTTTAGCAAAGGATCTACTTCTCCAGTAGGATCAAAAATATTTACAGCTAGGGATAATTGCATAAATGAAAGTAAGTTATGTAATCACAATATGTTCGGATATTCCCGTTATTAATAAATATAAGATTACTGACTTTGTTTACTGAAACTGTTTATAGTGTTAATTATTAAATAAGCTTTTATGCAATCAATTCATCTTTATCATCTATATTCATCTATATATTCGAACGTCATAAATAGAAAAAGGGTGTAATATATGTACTTTACGTCATGCTATTTTCTAATTAGTTTATTCTCTATTCCAGCAAAAGATCTTACAGAAAAATGCGAAAAAGCTTTCAGTTTAACGAAATGTTTCTTACAAGCTGAAGAGAGAATTTCTCCTACTCCTGGAAATCATGAACAACATAATAATTAATTAAAAAACAATTAATATATAATTAATACACAAAAATTTGCAGTGTACAACATTTCCAATAAAGATACATTTATACAATTCCGTATTGATATATTAATATAAAAACTAAATTTTCCTGTAAATGATACCGATTCTTTATAAAAGAATTAGATTTATTGATCTTTTAAAGTTATAATATTATATAAATAAATAAAATTTGTGTAACGCGCAGAGAGAGAGAGAGAGAGAGAGAGAGAGAGAGAGAGAGAGAGAGAGAGAGAGAGAGAGAGTGTGTGAGAGAGAGAGGGAGATAATTATGTAATGGCATTAAGTTTAAGTTTGATGACATAATTCCGTTATCTTAGAGTAAAACTGTATGTTTAATTAAACCTGTGTTGCACATATTGCGTTTCTTATCATTTACATAATTGTTTTTATGCGTTACTTGTGTAGCAAAACATTTTTATCATTAGAAATGCTTGCACAATTGTAAAATTTTCTCTTTAAACTTAAATGTGTGTTTTATTTTATAAACATTGCATCCTTAACTTGAACATAACGTTTAAAATAAAATAACGTAGTATTATAATTATATATATAATTTTAATGTAATATGATATGTGCATAAGTACGATATATCCATAATAAACTCTCTACAAGTATTTTTGTTTTAACAAGAAGAGAGTAATTCTTTTTTTAGTAAAAGATTATTAATGATATCTGTAATAATTATAATATAATTTACACTTTGATACTAACACATCATAAAACTTATATACATATTTTAATAAATAATACATATTAATTAATACGTGATTTTTATTTTGGTTTGTTTATATCTTTATAATTCTTTAATTTATACAAAGCAAAATTGCTTATTGACTAGAATCAATATATGTATATTTAGCATTGACACATAATGACTTAAACATATACATGTATACAGGGTGAGTCATAACATTTGTGTCAGAGCTCGTGAGAAGGTAGAACGGATCGAGATGAACAGAAAAGTCCTGAACCATTTGCAATTTTCACAATAGTTAACGAGTAATTAATTATAAAAAATCGTCGTCTTTGCCCTGCCCACTGTCCAATTCGAGCGCGTGGCGAGATGTGACCGCCCGGCGATCGATATTGCCTGGCGAGGGGGGGGACAGCGCGCTGTTGCCTGCGAGCTTACGTCGCCGCTCCCGCGTCTCGCGTCCCCATCCCTCGCCTGGCAATATCGATCGCCGTGCGGTCACATCTCGCCACGCGCTCGAATTGG